AGTGGTTATTGTGGAGAAGCGGAAGTCTTGTTCAGCTTCTGTGGATCTCTCAGCTTGAGGACAGGAGGATGAGTTGCAGGGATGAGAGACTGTTTTTGGTAGGATTGTGGTTGATGTTTGTGATCAAACTAGTCTCCAAGTGGGAGATTGTTGGGCTTTTGTGGAGTCTAGTTTAGTGTTGATCTAGATAATGACCCGATCCGAAATAATGTTGTGTGATTTTTTTTTGGGCTTGTTTTGTGGCCCAGTGTGCAGAACATATAAAAACTGTTGTTTTGGTTATTAGGGTTTGATTGATACTATATAGCCGCCCTCTGTATTCATTCTTCTTAATAGTGAAATCCCTGCAACTTCGTAGATGTAGGCAAATTGTCGAACCACGTTAAAATCCTTATATCTTGTTCTTTCTTGTTTCTCATTATTTTATGTTCTTGGTTTATTCTTGGATTATGTGTATTTATCTGTGGGTTTAAAACGCGTTTAATCCCAACAGACCTCTCGGCCCTCTGCTCAGTGCCAGATGGTTTTTGGGTTTAATGCTTCTATTATGATATCAAAACTCGTCTTGGGTGGTTGGGGTCAAGTGTATGTGTATCACCTATTTGAACTTCTCGATATGCATATTTGTCGGTTAGTTTTGTTGGTCCATATGCAGTCTGGGCTCCACATGAGAAAAGGTATTAAAAGATTAGGAGGCCACCCAAGGTTCATTTGTATGATTGAGTGGTCTCTCCACACATCGCTAATTAAGCCAGGTGCTTTGACATTAATAATTCGATCACAATTTTTATTTGGCTGTTCCATTCAACCAGAATAATATCACTATGATAACTGTTTGATGTGTTCCAGTAAAAGGGAGCCATTTGTGATATCAAGCCTTTAGTAATGTCGGACAAAACTCATTGTTCTTCAATTTTCCGCACCTACCTCAATGGTAGACTGCTATATCCACACCTGTGTTTATAACTACATCCATGTCATTTTTGTGCGACGTGTACTATGGCACAAACCAGGGAATCCATGTGATGGACTTACAATAAAAATTACACTGCAATTGGGATACACGATTTATTGCAATTTTTTAATGGATGTTGGAAATAACTTTCAGATTTCCACATTAAATAGCTCGGAGGACATTGCTGAATAAGTCATAGATCGATAAAGAAACAATTTTGACATGACTAGATCATATGAGCGCGTGACATCATATCGCAACCTATTCTATTTCTATCAAATTAGGAGGGGTTCAATTTTGGGCAATATCATATAAATCATCTAAACGTCAATGTGTAGTTCTCGTTTCTCCACATAATCGGGAAGAAAACCCAACAAATGAGTACAAAACCCAGTTGCTTCAACAAATTGAAATCCATTATAAGGGTTTCAAGACCATTACTTCGTGATCAAGCAACAAGTTCTTCGGCTTGATATCCCTATGAATCACATGCTTCTCATGACAATACGCCAACGCTTGTGCAAGACTCGAAATGTACTGATAACACAGAAAAGTATAAATCAAACTACAAAAACCACTAAAATTTCAAAACAAAATAACAAATATATAAAAGAAATCAACGAAGACAAAATACCAGAAACCCAATGCATAAAACCCTATCATAATTCAATTGAAATTGACTACATTGTTGACTGAAAACCCTAATACCGAAGTATATTATATTAGACGCACACATGAGAATTTTTGCGAGAGAGAGAAAGAGTTGATTATAGTGGCGGCTTGTTTTTCGGTGAGATGGCCGATTTTTCGGAGCTCCTTATAGAGCTCACCACTATGGGCATACTCCAAAATCAGGTAAATTCTCTCTGAATCATGAAACCAACCGAAAAGTCTCAAAACATTGGGATAACGGAGACTGGTCTGGATCCCCGTCTCTCTCCTCAACTGGTGTTGCAACTTATACTTCTCTATTTGCTCTTTGAATATCACATGCAATGCCACTATATACTTGCTCAGTAACAGGAAACCAAAATTTTCGATTCCATGGCAATGGAAATCAAATTCCTCTCAAGAATTTGTGTTCTCTCTCACTCTCTCTTAATGCATATTGTAGCCGAGTGTGTGTGTACCTTGGTTTCTCGAGCGAGGTAGATGCGGCCGAATTTGCCTTTGCCGAGGGGTTTTCTGATCTCGAAGTCTTGTAAGAAAAATTGTTTTTGGGGCTTCTTTCGGAGCCATAGATGAAGTTTGGAAGTATGTGTGTGTGTGTGTGAGTGAGAGAGAGAGAGAGAGAGGGGGGGATAAGAGGGAAGTTTTTGGATTTCAAAATCCTGGGAACGGAAACCGGCTGATAATATGGGTTGGAGACTGAAACGAGTGGTAGCGACTCCGGTTCAGCCGGTTATTGAACAACCTGAGCAGTCCAGACAGGAGGTTATTCAGTAAGAAGGACAACCATGCTAAGGTGCTCGTTCGTTCGCCATAGACCCACAGAATTCCAGTGGGATGTAGGACCCACTTTTTTTGTGAATTGTTACTTTTCTCATTGTATAATGGCCTTTTTCCATTTTGATCCAATTTTTTTGGTCTAATTACAAAATCTCAAATTACTTTCAATGCCATTTCTCATTCTTATTTAAGAATTTCACTTTATTCTATTAATTTTCATGATCGATAACTTCAATTAATGAATTAAATTTTATAATTATAAATTATTTTTTAATATAATATCAAAAAACTTTTTCAATACCATAGCGCTCGGGTGATGTTTCCATCATACATTGAAGAAGAGTTTGAACTATAGATGAAAATATTACCTCTCTATTAAGCGAGAGACTGATCTTGATGGGGCCAATTCAAGTTAATACAACTAATTTTAATATTCATTTTTATGGATGACAAACAAGCGAGACCTAATTTTTTTTTGCAATTGTTCAAATGTAGAGTGCTAACAACTTTAACACAAATATTAATAAAATAAGTTCTTTTATTTATCTGAAATAGAAATACAAAGGATCATCTTCATATGACTTAAAATTGACTTACAATAACATATGTTTTCTAATGAGGACCATGTTCTCAACAATATAATGGTTTATCACGTGTGCACAAACTAACAGGGAGAAATTTTTATAATCATCATCACTTGAATCATCAAAGTTAGAAAGTTCATGGTCAGAAGCCAGTAATAGATCCCCCATTATTGTATTAATAGCTTCAGCAAGATTTGAATACTATATCTTTGCCTTTTGGATAAAGTAGAATCGATCTAGATGTTATTGCATCTAATCATTCTCACGTTCAAGTCATGCTACAATATCATCATAATTGTTCATGCACCATTCCACGTACATATCATCTAAACGTGCTTGTGGCATTCGTAATTTATGCCAACAACAATATACTTTAAGCTCACAATGCTTGAAATAAGATTTCATCAACCTTGTCCCCGTAGGTGGTAATAGAACTTTAGAGGTGAAAAATTGGTTACAGGCCCAATAATCACATGACTGATGTCTGTCAAAGGTTTATGAATGTTGATTGGCTCATTGTAAAAGTCAAGCAATTTTCCTTACCACATTACACCACTGGAATCTATTTAGTTACTAGGGTTTGGTAAACTGAATCACGAAGAACTTTGATGTTGGTGTTGGTTGCTCAAAGACGAATTATTGTTTGTTCATCTTGAAGACTCGAATGATGACCTTCTAGGCATTTTAGTGTAGGGTTTACATTGTGAACAAATAGTATATATACACAAAAGTAATGACTGGACACAACATTGATCAATAATTTAAAAAACTCACTTAGAAACACTGAGATGGATAGTCATTTATTGCACTGAAAACACATTGATGACTAAACACTAACATTGACCACACACTGATGACTAGACACTGAAACTAACAATACACTAGTGACTAAACACTAACACTGATAGTAATAACAACACAACCTATCCACTATATCATCAGTGAACGTTGGTGTGACACGCATGCTTGAAGTTTACTAGTTCAATGCATGAATCATTGACACGAAATGCCCACTCTCGGCATAGTCCAGCATAATACTCTTTTGGATCAGTATGTCGCTCATTTTTATAGTCGTTGTCTCTTTCTTTTAACAACCACACTCTCTTTCATCGACGATTGTTTGGAACTACTAATGCACTAGATGAAGATATACTATAAATTGTTACATTGATGTGTAGTATTTATGAGATTTATGAAGGGTTATATCACCAAACACATCCACCATGAATGTGACAACACAACCTATCCACTAAGACTGAATGTGATAACACAATTAGTCTTGTACTTGGCGTAACACGTGACTACATAACCCATGTATTCTTGGCAATGACTTTGACAATGCATACTAGTTGATACTAATTACTAAACGTATTCACCGATGCAATCATCTTTAGGTGACTGTACATGGACGTCATCACTCAATGGTCAATGTACCAAACGCTTTAAGTAGAACTACAGACAATGAGTTTTGGGGCACTGAGAAGGATGTAACCATACAATAGTGCATGAACATAATGCTCACTGTGCTGTCAATAGGATGTGACAACACAATGCTGACTAGACACGTGACCACATAATTGTTATTGTTGAGGGACGTGACTGTACAATAGTCACTGTACATGGATGTGACCACACAATGGTCACTGTAAACGTTGTTAGTATTTATTCGACGTATGTACTCAAACAGTGGACATCATCTTTTCAAAATAAATTATAGTCCTCGTACATTGTTTGAAACAATGGGTTACCATTAGGTGCTAGAGGATGAGTTCTATTACCCCCATCAATCATCGTTTACATTACTCTAAGATAGCCATCACTACAATGGTGAACGAGTGGAAATATCGCGTAAATGAAAAGGAGGTTTTGAGCAAAGATTTATGGAGTTGCAATATACGTAGGCCTCAGCAAATTGCCATTTTCATCCTAGTTTATACTCCATAACAACTTGAAAGAGCATTATTTTCATTTTTGGGTAGAAAACAATTGCATGGCCATATGCTTGAACATGTTCAACATGTAGCGCATTTCACATGAGCTTGCTGAGGAAGGGCTAATGGAATAAGCATGTACAACTTTGAATCTAATGTAGGAGCAATCTTGGGGAGAATCATGTGTTGCGACCTCCGCCGCATGTAACTCTGATCCATCATTTGCATCATGGGCTGTTGGTAGACGTGGGCGCAATCTCTACAAAAGCGCTCCTATGTCTACAACTACATGAATTAAAGAAATATTATTAACAAATGTACAAAAATCACATTACAATGAATTTATACTAAAATATTTAACAAACACCAATGATGGTTGAAGTATACTTGAAGCAGAACAAGCAAGCCACCAATGTCCTTAGCATCACGTCCAATCGCGATGCATATCTCTAGATACAGTAAGGGCAATGCAGCGTTACCCCCAACTATACTGGCTTACAACAGTAAGATCCACGAGCAAGGGAAGGCAAATGAGCTTAACCTTGATCAATGACTTGTCTATGAACAAATATGCACCAATCAATAGCATTACATATGCTCTGGCGTAACATGCTATGAAATCCTTAATGGCATTGGCTGGTAGACCATCCAAATGTTCACGTAATGCACTGAGTTTGAGGAAAGATTCGTCTATATCTCCCACATCAGGTGTAAAACTAAGAAACTACAAGCACAGAGCTGGCTAAGTCTTTTGGACAACTATCCATGCCACACACCAGCGTACCATCGATCAGTAGCCCAATAAGTATTGCAACATTCTGTAGTGTGGTAGTGGTCTCACCCACAGGAAAGTGAAACATGTGTGTCTCAACATGCCACCTTTCCACTAGTGTTGTGATGAGGTGCCAATCGAGCCACTTCTACATGACCTTGTGAGTACTATAAAACCCCAATATAAGCAAAATATAGAGGACTCGCTTATCACAAACATGAAGTTGTCAAGGGTGCGATCACTACGCCTACAATGCAAAGGTGGGGTATCTACGCCCTACCGTATATCCTCTTAATGATGCTCTGCCTGCAATGACAACATTGAATGGTCATCTAGATCAGGATGTAATAACAATCTACCTATAAGACCCCAAAATTTAAAGATGAGTAACATGATATTAAGAGTACTTTCAAAAAGATGATAAAAATTTTGAATTATTATTGAAAGATTGATCATAAATTTTGGGTTTCGCACGTATTGACTTTCTTATCGATAGTTTTAGAGGTGTATAAACATGAAAATGGTGGCTAGGTAAGTTTCTAAACGTTTGAAGGTTAAAATAAGATTACCATTGAATCCATAAGGTCAAAAAACCTTGGGATAGGTTATCGAGGGTGTATTAGAAGTTTAGAAATATTCTAAAGTAAAAAACCTATTTTAGAGAGAATTCCAATAGAAAAGAATTTACCACTACCTTAGTATTTTTGCTATAAGTTTTTATCCCAATACCCAATTAATCTGATTTTTGAAAAGTAAAAACTAGACTTCAAGGGCTACAAAAGTATATTTTATAAAAATTTTCTAAGTCTACTTCTAACTAGGTCAAGAGCGATCTAGAAGTCTGGATATAAAGTTTTCAATGTTCGGATGCCCCATGCATCGTCCGAACACTTATCCCAAAAATGAAATTGTGCGTATCATCATAATAAAGGAGTAACAAAGAGTTGGTACTGTCTAAACACCTCAATAAAAACAAGAACACTTAGGCCCCGTTTGTTAACGTTTCCGTTTTTCGTTTTTCGTTTTTCATTTTTATTTTGATTTTTAGAGAAACAAGAAAAAAAAACTCGTTTGATAACCGAGTTTTTTTTTTCTGCCATCGTTTTGTAAACGAGAGGCGATTTTCAAAAACCAAAAAAAGATGTTTTTGAAAAAAAAAAAATGTTTAACGCGTGCCTGATTTTAATGAGGTCAAGGATTCGAACCTTATTAGCACTAAAAAGACAATTTTTTTGGACACCCATATAAATAGTAATACCCAAATCCTAACCCCTCGGTCCTGTCTTCGTGCCTCAGCTTCATCGCCTCTGAGCTTCATCATCTCTCGCCTCTCCTCTTCATCGCCTGCCAGGCCTCTTCGTCGGTTGGCCTCCTCATCGGCTGGCCTGTTCATCAAAGACATTGATATTGGAATACTCTGCGTCGGTGAAGGTAAATTCCTCTGATTTTTGCTGATATTTTTTCTCTGATTTTGGCTGGTTATAGATATGATTTTTGGTGGTTATAGATCTAATTTTTGCCTGATTTTTGCTGATCTCTGGTTATAGATCTGATTGCTGATTTTTTTCTCTGATTTTTGCTGGTTATAGATTTGTATTTTGGTGGTTATAAATCTGATTTTTGGTCGTTATATATATGATTTTTGTCTGATTTTTTGCTGATCTCTTGTGTGTTGTGTTGTTGATTAACTCATAAACGTTAATCAAAGACGTGTGTTTGATTTTTTGCTGATCTCTTGTGTGTTGTGTTGTTGATTTGTTGCTGGTTCTTTCTCTAATTGTTTGCTGGTTACAACAAGTTCTTATTGTGTTTAATTATATGTTTAGTTGATTTTGTTCTTATTTATTTTTGCATTATGTTCACTCTAACAAACCTTCTTTGTGCTATTCAGCCACCCAATTTTGGTTGTAAATGATTCTTCTGTAATTTTTACCGAGTAACTTGGAAGCCCCCAAATATCATATATTGTTGTAAATGATTCTTCTGTAATTTTTACTGAGTAACTTGGAATCCCCCAAATGTTCACATATGTCTTTGTTTTGTTTAAAAAATATTATATCATTCAACTGCATATAAAACTTGATGATAGGTATGCTCCACAAGAAGCTTGGTAAATATAAAGGCAGCATGGACTGGATTGTCTTTTATTTTTTGCTTTCGCCCCCTCAGTTCTCTTGTGCCACCTCAAAACCTTGCTTTATCAAGTTCATTGGGGCTCATGTATGTTAGTTATGCTCCCTGTACGTATGTTAAGTGATTATGTTCACTCTAAAAATTTTTTTTTTTTGGACTTAACCAATTTTTTTTTTTTTTGACTTAACCTATCTTTCTACCATCATTGGTGAGCTTGACAGCATGCACCTATTAGTGACTTTGTATTTGTGTTAGAAATGTGAAACTTTTCTTGTTTGAAGAAATGTCTTGAATCTATTTATGATGTCAATCTTGTGAACATTACATTTAACCATTATTTAGTCATTTGAACTTAGGTCCCTGTACAGATTTTTCATTAGTTCATAAATTCATGTATCCATTATGATCGGTTATTTATTGGGAAATAATTTTTTTTTAATGGTGAGAAAAAAAGAATGAATGAGAGGCTAGCTGCAATTCATTTTTTTTCCACCCCGAAATATGCTTTTAAACCCTTTCTTTCATTTAAACCCTTTCTGTCATTTATGTATCTTTTCTTTTGCCTTCCATGAAGAAAGCTTGAGATTTCTTTCTAGAAAGCTTGAATTTTTTTTTCTTTTGTGTTGTATTGCTATTTTTTTTTTCTTTGGTGTTGTATTGCTAGTTTTAATGAAGATTGCTAGTTTTTATGAGTTGTTGATTTTTTGGGGGCATGAAAAATGCATGTTAGATCCATGATTTCCATACTTTGTATTGAAAAATTATTATAATTGTCTGTGGATGTAGATGGTCAATGTGAATGTCAATAAGAACTTGGATAATGCTAATGTTATAGAAATTGAACCAACCAAAGTTGATCAACCGTGGCCTACTAAGAATGAGACAATTTTTATTGAGTTAATGGATGAGCAAGTTGCCTTGAAAAATAGGTCAAATACTACTTTCACTCGACAGTCATGGAACTACATGCTTCAAGAGTTGAAACGAAGGACTGGCTATGCATATACCCATGAGCAACTTAAGAACAAATTTAATGCTCTAAGGCAAGTTTGGAAGGATTTTCACAAACTAATTACAACCACCACAGGGGCTGGTTGGGATCCAGAGAGAGGGGTTGTGACTTTTTCAGATGATGTTTGGGACAATTTGATCAAGGTATAAAAATGTTTATTACTTATATGAGAATTTATATAAAAATTCTACTGTTAACTAGTTTCCTATCACTCATCTATTTATAGGTCAACAAGCGAGCAAAAAAATTCAGGAAAAAAGGTTGCCCACATTATGAGGCATTTTGTAGAATCTACCAGGACACAACAACAACCGGTAAACATGCTCACCCATCAACCAAACCTCCATTTGATAATGAAGAGGAACATGATCCCAAGTATGACCCAAAAGATGAGGAAGGTAATGATAATGATGATGACAACCCAGTGGATACGAAACGTAACCGAAGCCGATCTACCACTCCAACTAGTAGCCGACGACCAAAGAGAGAAACTTATGGTCGTGCCCTTACTAGTGCACTCACTGTGTTAGTCGATTCTGCTAAGCTTAGGGGAAACTACTACGAGAAAAAATTGGCAAGTGGTGGTGAGCCATCGAATTTTGTGGAGCCCTTAGGGGATTCAGTCAGTACAGATGATCCACATAAAGACATGATGAAGGCTTGCATGACTGCTTTGAACTCTCTCGAAGACATTGATGATGCAACTTACACAAAACGTGTTAAACTGTTGCGTGATGATGTATTGTGGCGAAAGTTGTTTCTTTCAATGCCTGAAAGTAGGAGGAGGGGTGTGGTGCTGAATTTGTGATGTTCGTGTGGTTGCAATAGTGTCATACAATATTATGTTATGTTATGTACGCTTTCTTTTATTAGGATTTATATGTAATGGTACTTTTTAAACGTTATGTTATGTTATGTTATGTATGTTTCTTTAATTAGTATTTGTATGTAATGGTACTCTTTAAATGTTATGTTATGTATGCTTTCTTTAATTAGGATTTATATGTAATGGTACTCTTTTTTTATATTCCATCAGGTACTCTTTTTTTATATTCCATTAGGTACTCTTTTTTTATATTGCATCATGAACTCAGACGATTTGATTGAAATGATGGAAGAAGAAGATGAGGAGTATATTGTCTAGATTGTTCTGTTACTATTGATGGAGGAACCTGATAGGCTCTCTTCAAAACAACCATGTAGAACATCTCAACTTAGGGTTCATGACTATGTCTTAGAATTAATTAATGAACATGAAGATAGGTGCTATGATCAGTTCAGGATGGACCCTAACGTGTTTGTGTTATTTTGTGAGGACCTAAAAAGTAAAGGGAATTTGAATAACTCTAGGTATGT